TTGGTTCCATGGTAGTTTGATAGTTATGAAGAAATGATTACTAGTTTAAACAGTCTTTAAAAAGTTCTATGGTATGAAGCTTGGGGAGCAATGAATATTTTTTTTTGTTGGTTTTGATTCAGATAATGGTAAATCTATTTTAAGCATACCAAAGGGGAATAATCTTTACAATGCTAGTTGTTAAACAAGCCCAAATTTGACTACATTTTAGATTTTTAAAAAATGTATTCACTGCCCCCATAGCAACAATAAAAGGCATGTTTTTGGATTCTGTAAGTGCATAGATACCCAACAAAACAGTGCATTTAGTAACTTTCTTTGCAAAACTACTTTCTTGGGAATGAGTATCTGTTTCTTCTAACAGTCTGAGTAATAATCTATATCTGGATGTGTAAATTGTTTTCTATATAAAATTAATCTTAATCTTTTATGGAATGTTCTGTCTATGGCATTAAATAAACTTACTTTTGAGAGCAGAAAAAAAAAGAATTCAAAATCTTACACAAACTCTAAAAGGTAATTAGTTGGCATTTAAATAAATGGATTTTTACTTCATTTTTCTAACAACAAAAATATTAAGCTAAAAATGTTTAAGAGAAATAACTATTTAAATTATTTATAAAAACCAAATATGCTCTTTGAAATACACTATGAATTGAGAAACACATCAGAAGTTTGGTATTTGTCCAAAATACAGTTCAGGTGGCTTTTCTATTTAGATTTTAAAAATTGCATCACTGTGTCCAAGAAGATAAATTCTCTTGAGACCTGTGTATTTTTTGGCAAGTATTGTTTCTATATTCTATATTTCAATATATGTAAAATCTTTTACATAATATGTAGAGACTTATCAGTGATATTTAAAGTACAGTTTTTATTTAACTGATGACCAAATTTCCCCTCACTAGAAATATATATGTCTGAAAAATACAATATTTCCTTTCAGAACACAAAGAATAAATAGCATGCCCAAGGCTTAATGGAACAAAGGATTCCTGTAGGATCTAATCCAGAATTCATTATGTACCCTCAAATGTTTAACTATCTTCTAAGAAAACATCTAAGGATCTGAGGGAACACATTATGAAGATTAAATTGAATTCTTTTTTTTTTTTTTTAAGTCTTTGCCATAGTAAGCAGCTTTTGTAGAATGATAGTGCTTTCTAGGAAATGAATAAATTAGTAGGTATACCTGTTTATATGCTTTCATTCATTTAGGCTCAAACTTCAGGTAAGTATGTTTTCTTCTCCTTTAATAAACCCCTGTTAATAAGTTATCATAAACAATGCACGTAGGTACTGAAGTATTACTCTGGCCAAGAAAAGTTATAACTGCTACAAATTAAGAATATGACACTTGATTTTTAGTTAGTGGACTCCTTTCTTAACTCTTGTTTTGTTTTGTTTTTTCATTTCAAAGATTTATGCCTTTAGTTCCCAGTGTAGGCTCTTTCTATATAAGACTTCAGTTCTCACAACGTCACATCATAAATTTTCATCAAAATATTTCCAAAGTTTTGCTTTTCACAGGAAAGACAGTATACACAGTAGAGTTACTAGTGTCAGCATTCATTGAACATGTTAGTTTTTTCTTTGTTTGGCCATATAAAACCCCAGGTCATCACTGAGTCACAAGTGACCCCTTGTCTAAATCCTAAGGGACACTGATTTACAAAGAAGCTCATATAAATTACATTATACAGGACCTTTCCCCCAGAATCTGAGTAATTAATACGTACATATCCCAAGCACAGTCTTCATTTTGGTAAGTTCTATCTGAAACTGAATTTATATCTGAACTGTTCACATTGTAAATATTGTGGTGCTTATAGTACAGTTTGATGATCTGAGTACATTTCCCAGTCACTTGAGTCCTGATTACTAACATGGCTAAGCAGACTTTTCATTACTGATATTATGATTTGCCACTGAAATACTTCCATGCCCTTCATTGAAAAATGCTCTCATGAAATACATAGAATTTGTTATGCTTACCTTAGGTAGGACTGTTTATTCTGAAGCTACCCAAAGAATCAAAGGAGAATGACAGACTATGAAAAAGAAAGAACAACAAAAAAAATTATTTGAGAAGGTTGTGACAAATCTGCCAATATAACATGTTAAGATTTATAGCCTATATAGAGAATAGTACATCAGGTATAGGTCTGCCTTCAGTATGAACTTGGACTTGAAAGTTAGTTGGCTCTTTTCTGCCTTATATTTTTCATTTGAAAAAGTTAGTACTATACTTATATCTCAGTGAATTAACATGTGAAAAGCTCTTAAAACAATGTTCAGCTCATAGTAAGCTGTCAGTGTATGTTACTATCAATATTATGTAGTATCATCAATTAATATTAACATGGTCAATAACATAATATTTTACATCCCACTCTAAATTTCTATAGTCATAGCTATGTACAAATGCAAAACAAAACAAAACAAAACAACCAAACAAAACTTCCAAATAACTGGGCTGAAGCAATTTGCATGCTTTAGGTAGAGAGGGGACATTTGTGCCAAATTATTCAGGTTTATCCTCTCACATTTTGCTGTTCTAAAAGTGAACACAACTCTCATTTATTTTGAGGTAACAAAGATACGGGAAGCACACCTGATTTCTTCACTTTAATTAAGCTTTTCTTTTAAAATATTTGTTTCCCACAATGCACTTTTTAAAAATTCTGCAATATTATCTAATTGTTTAAATTATTTCTAATTTATAGAAAAATGTAGTAAGTTAGCTAAACTTAAAAAGTGAATGCTTCCAAATTTATGAAAGGAAATTTGAGCATACTTGCTTGTCTTTGTTTTAAAAAGTAATTTTGCAAGTGCTTCTATGACCTACCTTTCAATTGTACAGTAATTTACTATTTGGAATTTAATAAAACCATTAAACAATATTCTTACTATATGTGTATAAAGGTTAGATCCATGTCTCCTTCGTGTTCTTTTATAAGACATTATTTTGTTTCCAACCAAACCTAAAGTTAAGAAAAATATATCTGTTTGAGAATATTTTGTAAGTCAGACATCAATGTCTTACATAGAAAGTGTCTTACACTTTTCCCATTATGCAACCTAGGTGAGGTTTTCTATCATTCTATATTTTACAACAGTATTAACAAAATATGACAAATGGTTATACATTTTATATTCTGGGGATAAAAAGACATTTTGATAATGTGCTAAGTAGACTGAAACCGAATTTATAAAATTAAGAATGTTATTTCTTTATTTAAAAAAATTTACTTGGTTTCAAATAGCCCAAAGTATTCATGGTGATAGTTTCACTGCTTACTTTTTATGGGATTTCAGAGAATTGAAAACATTGTATTTAATATAAAAATGTTAACTTCATTGCTGAATATAAATGATATGTAAAATAAAAACAACCAAGAAGTCAAATTTGGAGAAAAAAGCTTAAAAAGCTAAATAAAAAAGCGAAGCCGCCATAGGACCACACTTACTCTTTGATCTCAAATGTCCTGAAACTGAGTGAAAATGTGAGTGTAGGCCTACCAGATAGTCTTGTCAATGAGTAAAAAGAAAAACAAACAAAAAAAGGAATTGAGAAAATGTTTCACTTCTAACACTACAAACCTGTATGCACTTGTTCTTAAATATGAATGTTTTTATTAGTTTTAACTAGTTCATTTTTTAGAGAATTACATAGGATTGACCTTGAATTATGCCACATTGGGGGGTGTTGGCACATTTTTCCTGTAATGTTATTATTATATTTTTAGAGTCATCAGGTCAATGATATTTTATTATCTTCATTTACAATAAATAATTGCAAATTGATCTATAGTGATAATTTTGCAGAGGGATATGTTACAAGTAGGGGGGATTGCAAAGATAATATGGCTATCTCTGGAAAGGTACTTGGGTTAAACTCTATGTAATGTTCATCATCTTTTATCATAAAGTAATGCTTTTTACTAAAAGGGTGAGAAAATCATGTAAGTCACTTACTGTGTGCAAAAATGGCACATTATATGGGTGTCCAAAAAGCCGTAATTAAATAATGTGTTTTGTAATTAGGAAACATCCATTATGATATGTGGAAAACAAATGTCTAATTGTTTGTCCATTGTAAATATGAAACTCTAAGGATTGTAAAATTTACTACCCTCAAAAAACTACATGTTTAAGTGACACCTATTTAAAATTTTGCACTTTTCTGATTAACCACATCTCCTGTCTGGTTTTAACCATAATTTAAAAGTGTTTCTAACTACAATTTGATTCTAGACACACCTGTGAGGAAGATACAAACCCACAGAAGAGTCCAAGGTAATCATGTGAACCATAGGATGTGTATAAATATTACATTGTGTTATGCTGTGAGAAATCAAGGGAGAGAAGAGTATTTTCATGTATTTTATTGAATTTCATTGTCTGGCAGAGAGAAAAGTTCACTTTGAGGCAAAGGATTTCAGTGGCAAGAATAAGAAAGTAAATTCTTGTGTTCTGCCCTACTAATAGAATCAAATAACAAATATTACAGGACAGGTAAATATGCCCATGTAAACTGCTAGGTATATTGAACCACTGAGGTGGATTCAAGTGTGTGATCCACTCATACGAAAATTATATCAAAATTCAGTATACACAAACAACTTTGTGTGTATACAAGTCAAAAAGAAATGTTTGAATACCAGAGCTAAGCATACAGAGATAGCAGGAAGACTTAAAACCTTAAATATGCTATTATTCAAGATGAGGCTACAGTTTAAGACACAAATAAATTAGAATTGTACTTATACAGAAAACTGTCAATGTAACTACTTATAAAATTTTGATATAAATGTATAGATTATATGTATTATAGACCACATACGCACTACAATTTTCTTCATGTTACACTATGTGTTTTGTAATTCCTCCACTTAGGTTACCATACGTTCTGATACATTAAAAGAGCAAAAATTTCCTGTGGAATCCAGAGTAAATTACAAGCTTAGAATTAAAAAATTGGAATTTCTGACATAATTAAATACTAATAGTGAAAAGAAGTTATGAGGCCTGTCAATGCATCATAAGCATATCTGATTTTAACCCAATTAAATGTATATATCTCCAAAAGTAAAGGATCAGTTGGGCAAATATGTTTTTAGATGAAGGATTTATTATGGATTTCTTATAAACATTCAGATCCATCCAATTTTTCTAAAAAATAATCAAATTTCAATTATTTGTTTTCATATACCTTTGATCAAAAGATAATCTTGGTTTCATCAACATAAAGTAAGAAGAGTATTAACAAAACACCATCTAAAATATAATAGAAAATTATGTCATATGATAGGTAAAAGCAGACCATCCTATTCTTAAACTCTCAAGTTTCATTACATTCAGAATCTATCCTGTCTTTTTATTCCTAATAAGGTTCCAGAAGACGAACAAGAGAAGGTCGTTCTCAGTGAAAGTCCAAAAACCAGACTGCAAAGTTGGAACAACCCTGAGTCAATAACCTGACCTAAAAAGAAAACGACAAGAGCCACGTTGACATTGGAAACTGAAATATTAGCAGAAGAAAGCAATCATCAAACAATTCTGAAGGCAAATTTAATATTCGTTTTTCCTGAATGAGAAATCCGAGGGAAAGGTGGGCCTAGCTTCCTGTGGGATAGGAACTGAAGGGAATTTATCACCTTGACATTAAAAGTTCTGGCTAACTTTAGACTCCATCAAAGAAAATCCTTGCATCAGATTTATTACAATACAAATTTAAGAGTGGTGAACTGTTGTGTAACTCCTTGAAAAGATTAGGGCTTGAATATATGTGATGGATAAATAAAATGCATGTAAGCAGTTATCTCTCCATAGGAAGCTAGTTATAAAAATAGGTGCTCAGTATAAAACAAATAAAACCCTTTACATCACAAGGCTTTGCACATTTCCATGTGGGTTTGCTGGTAAATTATGTTACTTTTACAACTAATTTTTGTACCCTTGAAATGTTTGTCATATACTTCTGGCAGCACACATTTTTATAAATCTCAAACATTTCATTCAATAAAACCATTTTTCAGGTATATAGAGAATTACTTCACAGTGAGTAATTCAGAAAACTCAAGGTTTAAGTTACAAAGTGGTTTGGACTTGGGAAAAAGACTTTATACCTCTTGTAACAAGTACTCATTAAAGGAAATTGAATGAAATTACTGTTTTCTTAAATTTTTCAAACTATTATGTTATATAAAGAATTGTTACATGGGACGTTCTCACTGGGGTTACGCAAAATCTCAGGGTGGTTTTTATTTGCATTTCTCTGATAACAAGCTGTGGTATATGTACACCATGGAATACTATTCAGCTGTTTAAAAAAATGGAAACTTTATATCTTTTGTATTAACCTGAATGGAAGTGGAACACATTATTCTTAGTAAAGCATCATAAGAATAGAGAAGGAAGAATCCTATGTACTCAATTCTGATATGAGGACAACTAATGACCTAATACATGTGGAGGGGGGAAGAGGGGTGCAGAGAGAGGGAAGAGGAGAAGGGGCTGGGAGGGGTCACAGAGTATGACACACCTCTTGGGGATGGGACACAATTATAAGAGGGACTTTACCTAACAAATGCAATCAGTGTAACCTGGTTCTTTGTATTCTTAATGAATCCCCAACAGTAAAAAAAAAAAAAAGAATCATTAGACAATGAACAGTTATAAAATATCACCTAGGCTCGGCTCCTGTGGCTCAAGTAGCTAAGGCGCCAGCCATGTGCACCCAAGGTGGTGGGTTGGAATCTGGCCAGGCCCGCCAAACAACAATGACGGCTGCAACCAACAAATATAGCCGGGCACTGTGGTGGGTGCCTGTGGTCCCAGCTACTCGGGAGGCTGAGGCAGGAGACTTGCTTGAGCCCAGGAGTTGGAGGTTGCTGTGAGCTGTGATGCCAGAGCACTCTACCCAGGGGGACAGCTTGAGTCTCCTGTCTCAAAATAAATAAATAAATAAAAAATAAAATATCACCTAAGTACCTGATTTTACCCTGAGATTATGCTAAGTGGAGAGGATTCAAGAGATGAATCAGATGATGTAGTTACTATCCTCAAAAGGTAGAGAGACAACCAATTATCCACACTGCACCAGAAGCTATCATTGAAGAATAAATAACACTCCACAAGCATGACTCATAGATTTTTTTTATTCTGGGCTAGGCATGGGGGTAAACCACAGAGATTCTCTTAACTAAGACAAAGTAACAGAGTCCATTGCAAGGCAAAGAGGTGAAAGAAAATATTTGCTTCCTAAAATGCTAAAGACATTGACTTGATCAACTCAGATCTCAACAAGTGTCATCCTTAGCTTAGACTGCTTGAAATAAGAACATTTAGGAATGGAATCCATACTGAGTAATAACAAAATTATACCATGGATAGGAGAGCAATCATTGGGAAACTGTAAAACTGAGGAAGGCCACCTGAAGATGCCAATCTTAACCACAGATATCTAGCTTCTTGGGTAGCTGAAAGATTCTTTGTTTGAAAAGCAAGTAGGGTGAGTGAGGAAGTGAGATATAAAATCCTGAGTGTCATTTACTGAAGTGTGCAATAGCTCTAGTTTTCCAGAAAACTTTCTTGTCTCAGAGTGTGAGATTTATTGCTACCAGTGAGATTCCCTACCAGAAAAGAAAATACCCTATTTAGTACCCAAGTAACGAATCCCAGCTGTAAACGGTGTGGTTACAGTTATCTCAAGATGATTCAGAAGAGGTGGTTACGGTTCAGGGGCACACTTAAAGCTGTGACTCAGCATTACAAAAGTTTCTGTTCATGCCTTTTGCCCTCTTTTTTATGGGGTTATTTGATAATTTTTCTTTCTTTTATTTTTTTTTAGAGACAGAGTCTGACTTTGTTGCCCTTGGTAGAGTGCTGTGGTGTCACAGCTCACAGCAACCTCCAGCTCTTGGGCTTAGGTGATTGATGCTCTTGCCTCAGCCTCCCAAGTAGCTGGAACTACAGGCACCTGCCACAATGCCCTGCTATTTTTTGTTGCAATTGTCCAGGGCCGGGTTCAAACCCTCCACCTTCAGTATATGGGGCCAACGCCCTACTCACTGAGCCATAGGCACTGCCTGATAATTTTTCTTGCTGATTTTCTTGCATCCTTTGTAGATTCTGGTTATGAACCCTATACCGGATGTATAGCATACAAATATTTTTTTCCCATTCTGGGAAGCTATTTACCCTATGGACTGTGTCCTTGGCTGTGCAGAAACTTTTTAATTTGATCAGGTCACACTTATTTTCATTGTTGCCCTTATTGCTTTTGAAGTCTTCTTCATAAAATCTTGTTTTTCCAGCATTTCTTCTAGGATTCTTACAGATTCATGCCTCAGTCTTAAGTCTTTATCCATCATGAATTAATTTTTTGTGAATGGTGAGAGGTGTAGACCTGTGTCCATCTTTTACAGGTAGTAATCCAGTTTTCCAAGCACTATTTACTGAATAGAGATTCTTATCCCTAGTGTCTGTTTTTATCTGTTTTGTCAAAAATCATAGGGGAACATGAAGATGGTTTCACCTCTGGGTTCTCTGTTCTGATCTATAGGTCTGTGTCTCTGTTTCTGTGCCATTACCAATATGTTTTGGATACTATAGCCTTGTAGTATAGCTTAGAAGTTTGGTGAGGTCATGCTGCCTGCTTTGTTTTTGTTTTTAAGGTTGCTTTGGGTATTCAGGGTCTTTTCTGGTTCCATACATAATATAAAACTATTTTTTTTTTAGATCTGTGAAAAATGGCATTGGCATTTTAATGGGGAGTGAATTGAATCTATAAATCACTTTGGGTAGTATAACCATTTCAACAATGTTGGTTGTATGGATTGATGAGAACGATATGTTTTTCCTTTTGTTCACATCCTCTGTGATATCTTTCTGTAGTGTTTCATAGTTTCCCTTATGGAAGTTTTCATTTCCTTAATTAATTATATTCCTAAGTATTTTATTTCCTTTGTTGCTACTGAGAAATTTATTACATCTTCTATTTGATTCTCAGCTTGACTGTTGTTGGCATATAGGAAGACCACATGGTGCTTGTTTGTGCATCTATTTATGTGGTGGATTACCTTTATATATTTGCATGATAAGCCATCTTTGCATGTATGAGATGAATCCCACTTGGCCTTTATTTATTTATTTATTTATTGATGTACAGCTGAATTTGGTTTGCCAAGATTTTTTTTTAATTGTTGGGGATTCATTGAAGGTACGAGAAACTAGGTTACACTGATTGCATTTGTTAGATAAAGTCCCTCTTACAATTGTGTCAGTTTGCCAAGATTTTATTGAGAATTTTTGCATCTACATTCATAAGGAATATTGATCTGTATTTTTCTTTTTAGTTATGTCCTTTCCTGGCTTTGGTATCAAGGTAATAATGGCTTCATAGATTGAGTTAGTGAGGAATCTTTCCTTCTCAATATAAAGGAATAAATTCTGTAGAGTAGGTAGTAGCTCTCCTTTGTATATATGTGAAATTTGGGGTGAAACTGTCTGGTCTGGGACTATTTTTTATTGCTGCTTCAATGTCATTACTTGATATAGGTCTGTTGAGGAATTCTGTATCTTCCTGATTGAGACTAGGGAGATTCATGTCTTACATATCCCACGGCTTGCGTGACATAAAACACAGATTTCTTATCTGCTTATCAAGATAGGGATCCATGTTTCATTCACATGTGTGCTCCCATTGCCCTGAAGATGCTGCACATAAACAATAAAATTACAAACAAAGCACAAATTGGGGTAGTAAATTCTAGTATAATCTCCCTGAATGTATGAAAAAAAATTTTTTTTTTCAGTTTTTGGCTGGGGCTCGGTTGAACCCACCACCTCTAGCATATGGGACTGGCACCCTACTCCTTTGAGCCATAGGCACCACCCTGTTTGCAAATTTTTAAGTAAGAACTCATGCAGTCCTCCTTAAGGAAGGCAGACATGCCCTTGCACACAAGAGATAAACTTCAAAAATGGAAAATGAAATGCCCATCATTAATTCATAGATTTGGTTTCCTAAAATGCTCTGGAACACTTGTTCCAAACAAATTCTTCTTCTTTTTTTAATTCTTCTGGTTTTTCTAGTCATATATTCACTATCTCCACTGTCAGGTCTTCATCGTGTTCTTTTGTTCTAATGTATGTTTTCCATTTTTTTGTGCATCACTTGGGAGTTTTTTATTTTCTGTTTGTTTCTTTGTGTTTTTGTTCTGGCTCACTGAACTCACACTGGTAGATAGCATTCCTATTGCCCTTCCTTTTCATACTTGTAATCATCCCCATACAAACCATGTGACATTTCCAGTGGAATCAGATGTTGTAACAATAGTGAGAATGTGTCTAAATATAGGCAACATCTATTGTGCAGGCATTACATGACAAAACCTGTTAAGCACTTTGTACGAATTCTCATGGCAATTCTATAAGGCAGATATGATTTTCATCTGTATTATAGAGAAGGGAAAACTGTCATGGTTTAAATAATTTGTCCAGGTTAGCAAGAGGCAGAAACAGAATCTGCACAGTATGGCTTCACAGTCTGAGCTCATTAATAATATGCTAGAACACTCTTTAAAATTAATGCTTTGAATAAAAGAGATCAAATTCTGACAACAGAAGTTAGCCAGTGGGTGGAAGGAGTGGTCTTAAGTATCAGATATTTTTATGCTCAGGAGATGTTACTAATTATTTGATAAAAGGTTAGATCCTGGTTGTCAGGGAAAATAACTTATAGAATTCTATTTATTTGAAGACACTACTTTGAAAATGATAGTGCAATGTAATATAAACATACAATTGGGAGGTGGAGCAAGATGGAAGGCTGAGCTTTCCTAGTACAACTGGGGAAAAAGGAAAGAACCCAGCTATACCTGTCACAAAGACCATACCTGTAGTCATAGCTCAGGGAGCACAGGAAGGTGGTGGTGAGTTAGGTATGCATATGATCTGGAGTGGTGGAAATCTGACTCATTAGGAAAGTGATTGAGAGCCACTGGGATCAGCCAGCTCCTTCCACCCTGCCCCCATGGAGGTCTGGGATGAGAAGAAGCCTTTCCAGAGTTTTCAGTTTGAGGGGAAAGCTGTGTATAGAGTGGAAAGCTTGGAGGAGTGGGCGGACTTGAACAGTATACAGCAACCAGATTTGAAT